CATATAAAATTTGAAATGCAATTTTGGTATTAAAATGTTTATTGCCATAGGAACAAATCTTCCTTCTTTTCTGTTTTCCTGAAAGATAGTTTTTGCTACTTTAGTGATTTTAAAGTGGCTTTTGACTCTGTTATCGGAGCTAAGTTAGAGAATTTGGTTCCCAACAGGCATCTTACATAAATCAGGTACTATATCAAGATAATATAAATTACAGGTAGTCCTCAACTTATGACCACAATTGAGCCCAAAATGTTTGTTACTGAGAAATTTGTTAAGTGAGTTTTGTCCCATTTTACAACTTTTCTTGCTCCATTGCAGTTGTTAAATTAGTGGTTAAATGAATTGGTGGTTAAATGAATCTGGCTTCCCCATTGACCTTGCTTGTCAAAAGGTAACAAAAGGGGATCACATGACCCCAGGACACTGCAACCGTCATAAATATGAAGCAGTTGTCAAGCATTGGAATCACATGACCAAGGGGACTGCTGCAACAATCGTGTGAAAAATGTTGTGCAAATGGAATAGACAACAGGTGGAAAGCATAGGCAGTTAGCAAGACATCCCCAATAAAGGAATGGTCCTGCAGGTGGTGACTACAGACCACTTCTCAGTTCCTATGCTTTCTGGCTGATGGTTTGGTCACTTTTGAATGCTGGCGGTGCTTTCACTTTAGTGGTAGCATGAGATGGAAACTACAACCCACACAAGTGGCTCAGGTAGTGCAGCTCATCCAGGATGGCACATCAATACGAGCTGTGGCAAGGTTTGCTGTGTCTGTCAGCGTAGTGTCCAGGAGCACGGAGGTGCTACCAGGAGACAGGCCAGTACATCAGGAGATGTGGAGGAGGCCGTAGGAGGGCAACAACCCAGCATCAGGATTTAGGGCTCTGATGAACATGTATTTTAACATAGTCTATTCAAGGAAGACCATCTTTTGGGATTGGGCCATTTGGAAAGTCGAGTATTATTAATACTCAAACATGATCTTCAAAGTTGGTATTAGCAACAAAATTGTGAGACAGCTCCTTTCTGGGATTCCCTACCAGAAGCTTTCAAACTTTAAAGAGGGATCCTCACACTAACTTCCATAAAGCATCTTTTTCAGTGGTTTGCCAACTCCAGTTTACTTTCTTCTACTAAAAACCTGAATGCATTTCTTCAGTGGCATGTTCACAATTACACCCATTGCCTCAAATCATAGTATAGTGGCAAGGCGGAAGACCATTATTATTCCAAGGAGCTTAGTGACATGTTTTGATTTCTTCTTCATATTAAGAGAAGTCTAGACATTTGGAGCTCACTCTGAGCTAGCCTGCTTGGTTTTTTTTCATCCTTATTGAATAGAGAGAATAAAGGGAAATTTTCATGTAGTTTCAAAGCTATTCTGATTGTGAAAGTCTGACTTTCAATTCTCATCTCAAGAATCATGGACATCAACTTACTTTTAGCAGTAATGCAATATATTCTTGGAGTAATAGGTCAAGGTTATAGAAAAACACACGGCTCCTTAAATTCTTAACGCTGAGAGATGATCACAATCCCTAACTCATTTAACTTTTGAAGTATAAGATTGGCAGATACAGTTGCAAAACAATGTGTCAACTCTGATTTAGTAATGTGTAAGATACCCACTCAGTGTATATTTGCTTTCAAGTACTTTCACACTGTCTTTACCATAATAAATCTGAAGTAATCATATACCATCAAAAACATGAAACACCAGAACTTTTATTGAGGATGAAACATATAGCAAGATCTTTTTTTAAAATACTGGCAAAGCTTCAACCAAAAACTTCTAAAAATATAATGCTAAAAATCAAATCCACCCTGCCCCCCAAATAAATCAAAATCAATCTGCTTTATAACCATTTGGGGTAATTCTAGTAGAACTGTAAATATTTCTATCATGTCAGACAATAAGATCATAGAACTCAAATTAATGTTGACTTAGAAAAACTTCGCCCAAGTCTCCAATGTATATATTGTAGCCAATCTCCTTTAGCTCTACTAGGAATGTACATACCAAGGGGGTCAAAAGAAGAAAACAAACATCTATATTTTTATTTGTGACTTAGGCCTGGAAATCAATCCAGTAAAAATCGTGTCACTATAAAAAATTGTACTATAAAAGTTTTGGTTTTGGAAGGCAAGTTGTGTAATATATCTGAAAATGCACTTGTGATTATACCTATGTAATTTAAAAATTAACATTTCTAAATCTTCAAACACAAAGTCACAAACTGAATTGCTGATAAATATAAACCATGATAGTTTGAACTATTTGAGAGGCCCTGTTTGTATAGTTCTTTATTTTGCCAATAATAGATAACAAATCAAAGATGAAATCAATTAAAAACAGAAACTAGCTGTTTCTCATGACATGACATGACATAGTTTTCAAGGGAGGAGGCACCATTACAGAGTTGTCCTGATGTAAGCAGAATATATCTAACAAATGATAGTCTGGTCCTTCTGGCTGTTATTATTTAATTCTGAGTATACATAGTGATGTGTGGTGCTGAAAAATGCATACACAAATGCCAAATGTCCTAATTAATCCCACAATTAATAGTTGTAAGAAATTCAAAGCTGGAACAAGATCTTTGGAATCTGATATTGTGTGAAGAAACTGTGAAGGTCACTGTGACTTTGCAGCAATTTGTTGTTTCTAGGATTACTTAAGGATCAGTCAAACCAGTGATCTCCCATGCACGTTCTGTTCCATTCTAGGCTACATTTCCAACACCATTCAAATTTACACTGAGATTGAGGACATTTCATATGCATACATCCACCTAGGAGAAAATCAATAATATGTATAAGAAAATCATACAGGACAGACAACCATTAGTACAAATGCAAACATAAGCAGATAATAAGTTGGCATGTCTGTGGGTATCACAATAATTACCTATGGGTTTCACTCCAGATCCTACTGTTAATTTATATGTGAAAGGGACAGTGGAGCTCTTAATATTGCAAATTCTTCATTGCTCAGGATAGCAGCACAGTGTCTTCTAGGTACGGGTAGTATAGAAATGTGATGAATATATAAATAAAATAAACAACCATTTGTAGATTAATTTATTGAATTATGTTTTCAAGAATCATTAATTGAAGGGAGGGAAGAATGTGGTTTATGAAATGTTGCACTTATCCATTCTAAATTCCTTTTCAATTCATGGAAATTGAGCTCAGATGAAATTCTGATTCTGAAGTGAGCCCAAAGGAGACACTCAATGTGAAATGCAATTTTCTCTGCATTTATAGTTTCTCTAAAGTCCAGAATGATGTTTGGTCATCCTTGAATCTGTAGTGTTCATATACTGTATGTATGAGAGAGTTATTAGTTGAGGATTAAAGTAGATTCAACAGGATTATAAATTTCAGAATGTAGTAGCTGAGAATTAGATTAGACTAAACAGGATTAGAAATTTACAGCTACCAGCAGTATCCTTACATTTTGCTGTCAGCTGAATGACTTGTACAAGTTAGAAGCTCAGAGTGATTTGAAAGGCTTTATCCTCAGGCACTAAATACATATTTCTTCATTATTTCAAATATTTAAATGTGGTTAGAAGGACCATACATCTTCCATATATTAACAAAAATGTCTAAAACACACTGAATGGAAGGTTCATTCATGTGGGGGACACCATTTACTGATAGATCACAAGCCAGTTTAAAACTTTTGATGAAGTGGCAATCCATCTATATCAAGACTCTTCAACCTACACCTAGATTTTAAATGATGGTTTGGGAAAGTGACAATCCATATAGATCAAGACTGTGCAACCTACACTTACATCTTGAATAATGATTTTGCAGAGCGGCAATTCATATATATCAAGGTTGTGCAAGCTACCCTTAGATTTTGAATGATTGAGTTTTGGGCTTACCCTCCTAAGACGGAAATAGTGGCTAGATAAATGCTACATATGATTTGATTTATATTAAAAAGGCTTCAAATTATATAAGTGTAACTAATATGAATCTTCTCCTACAATTTAATTATACTGTATTTTCTTCCAGTCACATTTATAATCATAATATGAAAGTAGTACTTGGGAATTATGCTCAAAGTTTTGAGGGGTCATAAATAAATCTCAGGCTATGGACCATTGAATAAATCTGTTATAAGAAGCCATGGAAATATGCGTTGGCAACTCTTGAAATGTGTAATCAATGGAGATGGATCAGATGCACTCTGCAAAGGGTAAAGAGGAAGTTTTCTAGTGATTAATGTTATTGAGAAAGCTTATTGATCATGTGGATCACTAACATAAGGCTTCCTCAATACACGGACAAAATCAAAATGTTGCTCAATGCATATAAATAAGAACTTTGTTTTAGGAAATTACTAATTGCATAAGTTTAGATCCCAATCCAAGATCCTGGCATTTAACTGGTTGAACTTTTTATAGCAGCTATGTAATTCCCAAGATACATTATAAGCTTTCTTCATGGAAGTCCTTTTTGTATTCAGAGAATTTCAGATGTTGAGAAAGGACCTGTCATTTTTCAGTCAGTACAGTGCAAAAGTATTGGACAGCCTCTGCTCCCTGGTTGGATACTCTATTTGGAGCATGGCTGTTTTGTGAAGCCATGAAGCAAGATAATATTAAGACATCGTGGAACCAACCATTAGCCATTGTTTCGAAATAAAATATCCTAAGAAAACTAAGTATAAATGTGCACCCAGTTTCTTTTCATAAAATGCTTATGAAATTGCATTAAGTAATTTAAGGCAGCAGTCCCCAATCTTTTGGGCACCAGGGATCGGTTCTGTGCAGAGAGGTTTTTCTGCGAACCGGAGAGGGTATAGTTTTGCGTGCTGCCTGCATTCCATGGATGGAGCTTTGCTTCTTTGCGTGGCCTGGCTTCTGGCATGTTGAGGACCAGTGTCAGTCCATAGACTAGGGGCTGGGGCTGGAGTGGGATTCTACTGGTTCTCACCTTTTCATTAGATCCTGTTATTAACTTTCTAAGCAGTTCGGAAAACCAGTTGTTGGAAGAAATCTCCTTTTATTTTTTTCCACTTTACAGGGCTAGTCCTGTAAGGAAGGCAGGAAACATTTTGGTGATGTTTCTAACCTAATCTTTATTGCGCTGCTTACACAAACTGCCTCTTCATTTCTCCGTTAACCCTTATTCTTGGTAGTACGCCTAGACTTTCTGTCGCCTGAGCTTCTCCAGAGTTTTTTTTTTTCTTTGCTGGTTCTTTGCTGGGGCTTGACTTTCTTAAAGGGGAAGTGTTGTTTGAAGCTTTTTACACTGCTGGTGGGAGGAAATACTCCCCTGTTGAAGTTTTTCCAGCCAGGATGCAACGATCAGGACTTTGAAGAAATAATTGAATAACGAAGCAGAACTGCCGGAAACTTATTTTCTAGAAAGTTAATAGTTTTATTCATGCCCTAAATGTGCCTTTTCAAGAAGCAACTGAGCCTTTTTGTTTTTCTTTGAAGACATTTCACCTCTCATCCAAGAAGCTTCTTGGACGAGAAGCGAAGAGTCTTCAAAGAAAAACAAGAAAGTCCAGCTGTCTCTTGAAAAACATCTTTGGGATAATCATGACCTAGATGACTGAGACTCTCCATAGACACTTATATGTTAAATCATAGAACACTATGTGTGCAATCAATTCTAAAACAGTGAAAATTGTAACCATGCTAGGTTACACTTGATATATTGGAGTGCTCTGCAACGTTGTTTTAAAATCTGCCTATGGGAAGTGTGATATATCCTTCAGGAAACTCACCGTCCTTTTCTACTGGAACATGGCATTTAGGGCATGGCTTGGTTGTTCTTTTTATTGTTTCTTTGGATGCATCTTCCCAACGAGCTTTCATGGCTGCATGCTTATCAATTTCAAATCCCTGCAAAGAGAGAAGAAACCATGAACTACGGATAAATTACCCAAATCAAGGCACGTGACCACTTCCTCTAGATTGTACTTTTTTCTTTTTGCATGGGATAATTGGAGTAGCTGTATTATACCAACAGCTGAAGTTTGTTCTTAATAGATGAAGGTACTCCTCTACTTATAACACTTCAGTTAGTGACCATTCAAGGTTACAACAGCACTGGAAAAAGTGACTTTATGACTGTTTTTCCACACTTACAACCACTGTAGAATCCCCATCGTTCTGTGTTCAAAATTCAGACACTTTGGCAACTGCCTCATATTTATGACGGTTGCAGTGTCCCGGGGTTATGTGATCCTCTTTTGCAATCTTCTGATAAGTAAAGTCAACGGGGAAGCCAGATTCACTTAACAAGCACGTTACTAGCATAACAACTGCAATGATTCACTTAACAACTGTGGCAAGAAAGTTCATAAAATGGGGCAAAACTCACTTAGCAAATGTCTCAATTAGCAACAGAAATGTTGGGCTGAATTGTGGTTATAAGTTGAGTTGAAGGCAAAACGAAGGCTGGTGGCACCATGCATGTCAATCTGGAGCCCATTACTCAGATGCAGAGGGCTTTTTAGAAAGCTCTGATGGCAAAATGGAGGCCGGGGGCAACATGTGCGAGAAGTTGCAAGTGGCCGCAGAAGAAGTGAGCTGCAGAAGAAGCAGCCACAGAAGAAGGCGAGGCAGGTGTCGAAGTGTGTGAGTCCTGGTAAGTAGGGCAGCTCCACCCCGCCATCCCCACCTTACCTTATTTTTTACCTGTGCACTTCGCCCCACCCCCTGCACCCTGGGGTGGATGGGGTCTTAATTAGGGCTAATTTTGGGGATAGGGCTTAATTTGAGTGCATGCATTCAAAAACATGATAGGGCTTCTTTTCGGGGTGGGTCTGCATGGTATGTAAGTATGTATGTATGTATGTATGTATGTAACACACACTTCTGAGAGCAGGCATCAGAATTCCATTTTTAATGTGTGCCATTTCATTTTAATGTAAAAAGTGACAATAAAGTTTATTTTATCTTATCTTGCCTCCATTCATGGTACCTCTTTATTTACTCTCATTTGCATGCTTTCAACTACTGTGTGTGCAAGAGTTGGGGCAAGACCCCATTGCACAATGCAGAGGTCACAAAACACAGATTGTCACCTTTCCAGGTGATGCGATTAGTGTCTTTAACCACTGAGCCATTGTGCCCCTTTTATTATACCCTTCCCAAAAAGTGGAAGCAGTCAGAAGCCATTAGTATCATTTCTGCACATTGAACAGCCTTTATTTTTGGGTTTTGAAGCTGAATTCACATGTAGTTGTACAATATTATTTTATTAAAGCCAATTTTTTTTTCAAGAATAGGTAAACTCATTGTGTTGCTAGTATCTCTACTGGCTTGTTTTGGGAAACAGCATCACAAAATCCCACACTAAAGCCAAATTCTGTCATTGTTGCTACTAGACACACAAAGTCATATTATTATAGAAAATAGCTATGTAGGCAAAAAAGGAACCAGATTTCAAGAGACATAAACAGTAGCACTCAACCTGCATGAAGCTGCGATTCAACCGAACGATAATGCTTCCTCATAATTTTCTCACCATCTCCTGAGGGAAAAACAAGTATTGCAGGCCTAAAGTTGGGACCCTGCAAAGGATTTTGTGCACACTCTGCTCTTTGCATGAAAAGCTGTCTTTGGGAACTCTGTGCCCAAACTGAAACACGATGAAAAATACCAGGGAATTTCTAGAAGCCTGGCATTCTGACAAATTAGCCATCAATAGACACATAGACATTAACAATACCTATAGACTGTGCAAAAGAGACAATCAACCAGTCCAAAAGGGAACAGAATGACCCAAACACCTCTCAGTTTCCACCAGCAAACAACACTCAGATCAGCATAGATTAACTCAAGGTTAACATCAGACCAATAATCAAGTAAGCAATACCCCAATCAAGAAACTGCCAAAGAGGCAAGGGTAAACAGCCCAACCAACGAATCTCTAAGACCACCTCCACCATGCTGACAAGGCAAGCTACAGGAATATAAACTGACAGCAAACTGCACTCCTTGCTAGCACTGATGATGTTACCTAGTTTGGGTAATGAAACGTCTGCAAGAAAACAAGTAAGCTCAGAGTGTTAAGGTTCTGAAGGCCGTATGGAGAAAAGGATAGGTTACCATCCTATGTGCATTTAACCTACATATACATTTGAATAATACTTTCTTCTGGATAGGTATGCAGTAAATTACACTATAATCTGACAACTTACTTTAGGAGTTTAACCAGCTTCACCATTTCTGGATTTTCAGTTTGTTCTACTCATCTGTTGAGAAACTGTACTTAGAATAACTTCACTAATGTTCATCAGCTATTCTCAAGTGGAAGTCTCTTCTAAGGGCACTTTATGAATTCTCCCAGAAATGTCCACGAATGAGAAGAAACTCTAGGAATGTTGTTTGTTCCTTGAGAACTTCTTTGTTGCTTTTTTCCACCTTGTTTATCTGGTGCTGTTTCTTCCTTATCTCAGTTGCTAAGAAGGATGTCCTGTATGCTGTTTGCTTTCTTCCTGTGGTTTTGGTTATGCCATTTAACCGGTAGGGAGGTGGAGGTTATCTCTAGGTGATGGCTGACTTGTCAGCACATCAACGTGCCAGGTCTTTTAGTATAACATTTGAAATGGTAAATTTTATAATAAATTATGTTGATTACAGGTGAAACTCAAAAAGTTAGAATATCGTGCAAAAGTCCATTTATTTCAGTAATGCAACTAAAAGGTGAACCTAATATATGAGATAGACTCATTACATGCGAAGCAAGATAGTTCAAGCTGTGATGTGTCATAATTGAGATGATTATGGCTTACAGCTCATGAAAACCCCAAATCCACACTCAGAAAATTAGAATAATGTGAAAAGGTTCAATATTCTAGGCTCAAAGTGTCCCACTCTAATCAGCTAATTAAGCCACAACACCTGCAAAGGGTTCCTGAGCCTTTAAATGGTCTCTCAGTCTGGTTCAGTAGGAATCACAATCATGGGAAAGACTGCTGACCTGACAGTTGTGCAGAAAACTATCATTGACACCCTTCATAAGGAGGGAAAGCCTCAAAAGGTAATTGCAAAAAAAGTTGGATGTTCCCAAAGTGCTGTATCAAAGCACATTAATAGAAAGTTATGTGGAAGGGAAAAGTGTGGAAGAAAAAGGTGCACAAGCAGCAGGGATGACCGCAGCCTGGAGAGGATTGTCAGGAAAAGGCCATTCAAAAGTGTTGGGGACTTTCACAAGGAGTGGACTGAGGCTGGAGTCAGTGCATCAAGAGCCACCACATACAGATGGATCCTGGACATGGGCTTCAAATGTCGTATTCCTCTTGTCAAGCTGCTCCTGAACAACAAACGTCAGAAGCGTCTTACCTGGGCTAAAGAAAAACAGAACTGGTCTGTTGCTCAGTGGTCCAAAGTCCTTTTTTCTGATGAGAGCAACTTTTGCATCTCATTGGGAAACCAAGGACCCAGAGTCTGGAGGAAGAATGGAGAGGCACACACTGCAAGATGCTTGAAGTCCAGTGTGAAGTTTCCACAGTCTGTTGATTTGGGGAGCCATGTCATCTGCTGGTGTTGGTCCACTGTGCTTCATTAAGTCTAGGGTCAATGCAGTTGTCTACCAGGAGATTTTGAAGCACTTCATGCTTCCTTCCGCAGACGAGCTTTATGGGGATGCTGACTTCATTTTCCAGCAGGACTTGGCACTTGCCCACACTGCCAAAAGCACCAAAACCTGGTTCAATGACTGTGGGATTACTGTGCTTGATTGGCCAGCAAACTCGCCTGACCTGAACTCCATAGAGAATCTATGGGGCATTAGCAAGAGAAAGATGAGAGACATGATACTGAACAATGCAGAAGAGCTGAAGGCTGCTTTTGAAGCATCCTGGTCTTCCATAACACCTCAGCAGTGCCACAGTCTGATAGCTTCCATGCCACGTCGCATTGAGGCAGTAATTGCTGCAAAAGGGGCCCAAACAAAGTATGCATAGCATACATATGCATGCTTATACTTTTCAGAGGTCTGATATTGTTCTATGTACAATCCTTGTTTTATTGATTGCATGTAATATTCTAATTTTCTGAGATTGTGGATTTGGGATTTTCATGAGCTGTAAGCCATAATCATCACAATTATGACAAATCACGGCTTGAACTATCTTGCTTTGCATGTAATGAGTCTATCCCATATATTAGGTTCACCTTTTAAGTTGCATTACTGAAATAAATGAACTTTTGCACAATATTCTAATTTTTTGAATTTCACCTGTATTTAGTTTGTCTTTAACTGGGTGTGCTTCCCAGAGTCACATGCAAGAGAGAGGGGCTGCTATATAAATTCAATACCTACCTACCTACCTATAAGCATAATGCACACCTGGAAAACATGACAATATGTCCTGGAAAAGGAATTTTTCATTGCTTATGTGGTTATCTTTTCAAAGACAACTCTGGGTTTATGACATACACAAAACTAACTATTTCTTTAAAATCCTATTGATGAAGAGAAAGCTTCCCTTGCTCCCCCCTCCAATCCTTCGAACGATTAACATGTAATTTTCTACTTTGTAAAATATTCAGGATTAATGCGCAGGTTATAAGAAAATCACTGGCTGGTTTCGGAAAGGAGTCCCCTTACTTTGCTTCAGTAGTACAGTGCCACCATGTGCAAGATATGAAGACTGCATGAAGTGAAAGAAAGAGCATAATAAAATAACTGGAAATCAGAGAAAGACAGAGAAAGTTACTGAATGGCTGATGGATATGTTCCTATAATTGGCCATAGACAAGATTATCATGCAGATATGTTAAACTCAGGACAACTGTAGGATGAAGAAATATTTTTTTTTCTCCACTTCAAATTGTTCTGACTTTGATTTGGATCTTATACAGGAGAACTTGATTTGATGTCAAGGACC